CTAAAACATTCTAGCAGTCACCCATAGTCAATGTGTCTGCAAACACTCACTAATTAACTTTGAGTGGCAGTGAAACTTGGGAAAGGCAAATGGAAACCAGAAATGAAGAAATTCCGCCTTTAAGGTACACATTGTACTTAACTGCCAAACCAACCAGTTCCTAGAAATTGGCACTGGGGAATTAGGTAAGTGTGTACTGACATCACAAATCAAGTGATTAATAGAGACCTTTTTTCCTAGACTTTTATATAAACCCCTTAAAAGGCCAGAAGAAAGATTTAAGGCACTTCTGCAATGGAGAATTGCATTGGATATGGACAGTATCTCTCACTGTGAGCTCTGGTGGTAAACCAGAGCTCCCAAACCTCTTTGTTTTCCTCATCCAAAACTACACTGTCCCTTCTCTCCCTATCCCTACCCTCTGGTCATGACTGAATATGAAGTGTGTTCTTGCAATATTTGCATCTACACTGACTGTACCCACACAAACTGAGACAGACAGAATAATTGGCTCCAGGAGGTGAACAATAAACTGAGGTCAGACAATGGCAAACCCGACCCCTTTCGTACGTCACAACTGTGTATTCAAGCAATAATCCATACTAGTGTGCACCCCCACCGTCTGCCTTCACACAATGGATCTGCATACCAGTTCAAGTGCTTGCATGATATGATACCCCTCCACCACGCTCTGAACTCACCATCCACACAAACATCACATTCAGCTGCCTCCAGTGAAGCTGTCACCCCAGTGTCTCATCATAACGGTCACATCAAACGGGTTGACCCAGGGACAGTCTGGCCACATTAGGGGAAGAGTTAAAGATAGCTCACACATGCTCTGAGTGATCCTGTGAATAAGTATATTGATCGTGGCCAGAGCAGCTTTGGACTTTGATCTGTCAACATGTAGATGAGACTCTGTGCAAGCGTGCGTGCATATGTATGTGTCGGTGTGAGTACTTGTTTAGACATCTTTGTGAGGACAGAAAATTGACATGTCACTAGACTTGTGGGGACCAACAGTCACTTATGGGGACAAAATGCCCATCCCCACAAGTTTAAAGGTATTTTTGAGGCTCAAAATGTGGTTTAGTGTTATTGTTACAATTAGGCTATGGTTAGATTTAGCCTAAGGGTTTGGGTTAGGCATTCATTTTTGATTGTTAGGGTTAGTGTAAGCGGCTAGGAGAAGCATTATGTCAATTAGATGTCCTCACTAAGATATGAAAATGAGTGTGTGTGTGTGTGTGTGTGTGTGTGTGTGTGTGTGTGTGTGTGTGTGTGTGTGTGGAGGAGGTCCCACAGGCTACTGTTTATAAGTCAAACACACAAGAATGTTAGTTCATGGTGACATGCTAAGCGGGCTTAGCTTAGCTTAGCTCAAAACTGGGTGGCTAGCTCATATATTTTTCTAATATATGACCTCCAAGGTGCTGTAAAATACATGTGTCATCAGAATTATTGTGATAAATCATGGTAGGACCCTAACCCTGTTAATGAATACACACAACAAAGTGAAGTATCAGTGAATATAACCACCGATATCACAGCTTCAAGAGGTTCTATCATGGATTTCCTTAAAACTGAGCTTATACACCAACATAATGTTCAGATAACATGCAGAATCATTAAAACACTGTGCGGTGCCTTTTTCCTATAATAATAACTTTTTGGATAATTTTATGTTTGAATTTACGTTATTATTTTGTCTTTTTAAAGTGTACCTATCATTCTTTATTTTATTTTCTCTCATAGTGGCTGCCACTATTAAACATGACCAAAGTTTCAAAGGTCAGTGTATGTACAAATAATCTCTCTGATCCAGCTCTGACTGCTCGGAGTCTGACAGTTTTTATATAGTGTTGGCTCTACATGATGTCATATAAAATGGTCATCACAAACAAAGTCCCCACTCACCTATTACTTAGATCACTTTGCTCCTCTAGTAGAGTCCAGGATAAAAAAAAACTTTGTGTTCAGATTGAACATCACATGATTCCTTTTACAATAAAGCCTTGAAACTTTTTTTTTTCCTGACTTCATGACTCCTTAACTACAAATAATAGGGGCTGGGTTTGTATAATGGGCATTCTGGGAGTCACGTTCCTCCATAATATGGCTGTGGAGCCAATATGACAGGTCCCCACAGCATGGTTTCTGCAATTTACTGCAATAGCTTTAATAAGGAAGTGGAAACTGTTATTCTTCTGGGCACAGTTTTAAGCAGTTCTTTTAACTTTTATGATTTAGAGTACGATCCTCTGGCGCTCCTTTGTAAGTTTCTATAGAATTGTCTTTGCTGAGCGGGCCTTTACTTTTCCATTTGAGAATAATCTTATTTGTATCAAATGGTTTGTTCTAACATTTCGTTAGAAGTGGCTTTTTCTGGGAATAAAATTACTTTTTATCACTATGTAGGAACATCATATTAGAACACCTCATGTGGTTAAAAAAACAAAAACCATGCAATTGTGCGGATGTAAACCTGAAATTTTTGATATTCTAAACAGCACATGTGATTTGCATAACGCTATGTTACAATGACACCTGTGTAATTCATGACCATATGGTGAGGCACAGTAACTGTTTTCTAAGTCAACCAAAGTCATTGTTTAAGTAAAGCCAAGAGCGAGCAGTGAAGGACACAAGGGTGCATGTGGCATCCGTGCTGCCAGCGCGAAGATTTGCTGTTTATGTGCGCGACAGAAGAGAGGACGGGGGGTGCAAAGCCCTGCATTAACCTCAGATAACTCCACCAACACAATGGCGGGGCGCTTTGAGAAGTTAGAGGTGCGGGTTGACACGCCCCGAGGGCTGACAGACCAAATGGTAGGTCCAGAGAGAGAGAACACTCAAATGCACCGACGAGGCCAATAAAACACTCTGCTGGTAGAGCAGGGGGAGGAGAGCACACAGCAACGCTGGTAATGTCTAACTAGAGGGAGGGCAATGAGTGTGTTTAGCAAGTGAGATGGGGACTGCGAGTGTGTGTGTAGCTGTTTATGCGTGTGTTTGAAAGTTCACACAGGGGCATGGTGCAGCCAGGATTCCAGAAGAATGATATCTATTCCACCCCGCCCCCAAAAAACACGGAGTTCAGATACAGGGCATCCACCCAGCATTCGGGGCAGGGACACAAAGGGCATGAAAACACACTGCCCATCACACACACTGCAAAGAGTGAGGCCGTCTGTGTGTGTCTACATCTAGACTCCTTCTGGGGTTTGACATGTTTTCAGGGTCATCATGCGCTCGATTCTGCCAGAATACACATCTGAAGGGGAGCTCCTAACAGTACTTTCCCACTGATGTGTCCTCATGTGTGGCCTTTCACCATGTCAGGGGTCCTGGTCAGGCTGGCCCCTGTGCCCCCCACCCCAAGGCCTGGGGATATATGCACATGATGGTGTCAGAGACAGGTCACTGGAGAGGGGGGGGGGCAAGGATGAAAGGAGGTTGAAAGGTGAAGAGAGAAGAAGGCAGAGAAGCAGAGAGAAGAGATGTGGCATTGTGAAGGAAAAAGACATCAGACTGGAGGCTTGTGCACGCTAATGCAGTCTGACTGACATATACACACACACTCACACACAAAGACACACTCTCTCCAGCTGCGACTTACGGCCCACATGTTGAGAAGGCGGCGGCACAGGAAAGGGTCCACGCTCCAATGTATGTTGGGCAGACAGGTGATGTAGAAGATTTCATGCCCGAGGCTGGCCGACAGCAAGAAGAGGAAGTGCAACGGCCAGTTCCTCACCTCGTAACGAGGCCTACCACAGTCCTGCACATGAAATGCAAACATCATGGAACAAGCTGCCTACAGATAATGCCTGGCTGTCTGTCAGATCAGATCAGACCAGACACACCTTTTGTTTGCGGCATATCACTTTTCTTTTAAAGCTTCCTCATTTAAAAAGCAGGCAGTTTGAAGCCTATAGGATTCCTTTACTCAAGCATGACTATCATGAAACCAGTGGATTCACAGAGACACCTAAATTGCAGTTTTAATCTCATGGGTCCAACATCTCCCATAATGCAACTGCTTAGACTCTCCTATTAAACCTCACATTGCCTAGTAAATCCCCACTGCTTTCAAACCCGGCACTTCCACTTTATGTTATAAACATTTCCAAGACACACTTACAACATCACTGTGGCATAATGGGGGGAAATTAACCTGGCAAAGGTCCTCTAGAGTCACAGAGGACATCACAGCCTATTCTGTCAGTATATAAGTCTCATAGAAGGAGATATACTGCAGTTACTGAGGTTTAGCCTTTAAAAACATCCATATCGCTTTGTGCTGATCCGTTTATCAAGAAATCTTTCATTCTTAAGTCAGAATGTAACCTGACTACATCTTCACTCAGTGACGTTACTTAGAAAAACAACAAGGCCACTGTTACATGTGAGTGTGTGACCCAACTTGTTATAGTGCACATGGCTATCTGCTGGCTGCCAGAAGCAGCCAGTCAAACGGGAAAAGCCAGACAGCTTGTTTTGCATAATCTCAAATAAATCTAATGAACCCGAAAGTGAATTCTCAGAGATTCGACACCAACTGTGCTTTATCCTACAGAATTTAATGCCACACAGCAGGACTGAAATAAATAAATAAATAAAAATGAACACTTTGCTTTGATTGAACTAAAGGAGAAACCTTACACGTGAAGCGTATCCATTCTCCTTGTATTTATAGTTGGAATTGCGGTCCTGGTGGTCCAATCTGTCCCTCACCAGCTGCCCACGTGGTCTCTCGGGCTTGAGATGCGCGCTTTCGACGAGGAAGAGTCCGCATCGCCGCTGGAACCGGGCCACGAGCTCTGAATCGTGGAGGTAAGTCAGGAGCTCCATGCAGCGCGACAGGTGAACCGACATACACACTCACACAAAGACGCACACACACACAGACACACACACACACACAAACTACGGAAAGGAAGTAGATGATGAGGATGTTCCGGACAGGAGGAGTAGTGGAAAGTGATATGAGCCCAAGCAGGGGCGCATCCCAGGGGGCAGGTTGTAGAAGGGCGGACAGGTGCGGCTCGCCGTGCGTCACAGGTGTGCGAAGCGAGGCGGGGCTAACTACAAAAGGGGGCTGACCCGGTAGTCGTTAGTTGCTCACCAGTAGCTAAAAGTTAGTGCGACCTTTATACCGGGCTGGTTCAGGTGTTATCATCAAGTATTTATAGCAAGCACGAGGAAGATTTATGGCATGTCCATGATAGCAGGGCTTTTGATGGGGCTGTATCTTCATGTTGCTGACAACCGCACAACAGAAGTTCAGTGGTCGAAGGCTGCGCTCATAGAAGGTTTTAAGTTAAATCAGCATGTCACGGGGATTATTACTGAGCTATTACTAAGGAGTGTCTGAAGAGTCAAACTGTGTGGCTTTTTGCAGTAAACTGCCATAACTGTGAGCATTTGTCTCAAAACACAAGTTTCCCTTTTCCACTAATTGGTTTATCAGATTCAGTGATGTGCTTCTCCCACAGGCTCAGACCACACGCCTGCTCTAAGAGGTTTAACAGGCTTTTCTGAAACTTTATGTTTTCTTGTAATGACTTGTCTTTTCTCCCGAGCTTAAAATACAGGCAGGATTTACCCCATCAGACTTCAGTCTATAGTATTCAATTTATTTCTAATTTTTCTGGTTTTTTAAACTTAAGATTTATTTTATGATTTCAATGCTTTGTTTATTTGTGTCATGTGTCAGGTCCCTAAGTGGAAACCTTTACCAGGGTCACATTTCTACATCATATTCTGCAGGCTATAGGTATTTTCTTAATAATAACTATTTGTTTTTCTATCAATAATTAATTGATCATTGATTTAAAATAATAATAAACATTATTCCACGAAGCCCAAGTGCACATGTTCAATTCACCCTCAAAAAATGTTTATTACGTAAATCAACATTTTATGGTCATGAGGTGGTTATCCACAAAATTAATCTGCCTGTGATTTTTCACCACAGCAGAGACTTAACTGTACAGTACAGCAGTGAGCTTTGATTGGGAACAGCTCTGATGTGGATACAGGTCAGTTGTGACCATTCTGTAGACATTATCATGTTCACTTTTATATGTGCAAAACCTAAACTCATTGTTGGTGCTCATTTTCTCATATCATTGAATAACCAAACAGTAAACTAACTTACCCGTGGTTACTTGGGACCTAATACAAAAATCGGTTATATCATCCTGTTAGAGTGCAAAGTAAATTGTGATTACAAACAGAATGCAGTGATTCAGACATAATTTAACCTCTTCAGATGGAAAGAGTACAATGAAAACTGACATGTTCAAATATTTGCCCATTTTAAATATGATAACACAGTGCTTATTACTGTGTTGCATCACCTCTTCTTTGTGCTTATGCTGACATCACTAATATTGCAGGTTTTTGGGAACTCAGGAGGTCAGTTGCTGTAGTTTTGGAATAAAACTTTTTCCATCTTGCTCAATCATATAATAGGAGGTTGGCTTCTTAACAGTCCGAGGGTGTTCTTTGCTGTGTTTTTCACTGCTTATTGTTCTGACTCTTTTCAGTTGATCTGGGCAGCAGTTAATCCACACTATTCGTCTATGGAACCATCCTGCTATAATGGAAGGTACCGGCTTTCTGAAATACGCAACACCTTCTTTGAAAAAGACGACTCTGCGTGGCAAAACCTGTGTATGACATTCAGCATTCATGGTGCCCTCACACATTCTGCAAATGCACCATGGATGCTTCTGGGCAGTTGGTCCCTTGCACAAATAAACCAGAGTTTGGGCCTCTGTGGACCAGGTTTACTAAACAGGGTGAAATAGCATGTGAGTGCTTATAAGTGTGGTTAGTTCTACAGGTGTTTACAAAAGTTCCACAGTTTTCTAAACACAGGTGCAGTCAGTTCATTTCAATATTAAATGATGAAAAATAAGACACACTTAGGCCAATTAGCAGTAAATTGCGTGCTGCAAAATGTTAATGAGTCAGTTTGGCCTTCCTGTATTTTGCGGTGTGAGAGAGGAACTACTAGAAATATATATGTATCAGGGTAGGTCATAAAAAATCTCTGAGTTTTCACCTTTTATGCCTGATTTAGACTTTTGTGGGAAATCTGCACTGTAACGACATAACTGGAAACTCTAACTCTACAAAGTGACTTTCTACTTAACCTGAAGTGCAGCTCCCTAGAAATGTAACTACAAGTCAGGCTGACACAGCCCGCAGCGACTTGATGGAATGGAAGGTTCCGACATCAGGTGAAAAGGGGTGTAGGATGCATTTGATTGCATTAGTATTTGCCTGCCCTACAGCAACTACAACTCTGTATGAATTAATGCGTTCTTTCCTTTCACGTTTGAGGGACTGCATAAGATTCTAGAGAGGAGGCGTCACTGGCCTGCGAGCTGCATGTTGAGAACCCTGGCCTTAGGTCAAACCAAATGTGTGTCTCAGATGATTCCAATTCTGCTCATTCTTTAAAATACCTCTCCAAAGGGTTCTCATTTGAGAGCTCATGTTCATACTTTAGAGTTTAATTTGATAACTTTGCCCTAAATGTTCAGATGTTATGCTTCAGCTTTAGTCCCTCACTTCCTCTGGGGCAGGTATGAAGTTCGAAACGACTATGACCATGATTGTTGTCTGTCCTCCATCAGCCTACACCAGCTATGTATTTTTCAGACTACAGGTGTAAATGATTCTGAAGAGCCTCCTTGGTTCACGTGAAACTTGTTGATGCTCACTGTCACACACCGCGTTCTGTCTGCCAGAACACCGTGTGAGTTTTGATGTTTCGTGTTACAGGAAACAGAGAATTGACGCCCCCAGTTGACCAAATAAGCGCATCCTATTGTGAGCCAGGGTCTACGTAATTCCCAGCCAGCATGGCTGTCATCATAGGCAGCCTGCTGCACTACCACAGCGGGAACAGCAACAGCAGCTCTCTAACAGGACTCTAAGACGCAGAGTCCCCTCTCTCTCTCGCTCGCTCGCTCCCTCTCTCTCTGTTTTGTGGGATTCTCGGACTCTCTGGATGGATGAGCCCCCCCACCTTCCCACCGGAGTCACCACCATTACATCATCTATTCCCACACAGGCGAACAGGAAACGAAGGCTTCTTTTGAAATATTTTACCTGGATCCCGAACTGCGTCCGTGCGGCTCCACATGAAAAGGACGCAGGGGAGGGAGGATTATTATTATTATTATTTTTTTTTTTTTTTAAAGAACCAAAAACAACAATAAAAAAAGAAAACACATGAGCGGTGATGTCTGCACACGGATGATGGCGTTTCAATGAAAGGGGAGAGGAGAGGAGGGGGCAGAGAAGGAGAGACGTGCACCGTCATCAGCATCTGTCCGCCAGCTCCCTTTGTGTTCACCGGAGAATGTGAATGGCGAAAGATGACATGGCAGAGGTAGATCTGGCATCGAGTGGAGCGGAACCCCCCGGCGAGGCCTCCTCGGCGTTCCCCTACGAGGAGTACGAGTGCAAAATCTGCTACAATTATTTCGACCTTGACCGCCGGGCTCCCAAGATCCTAGAGTGCCTGCACACGTTTTGCGAGGAGTGCCTGAACACGCTTCACCTTCGGGAGGAGCGGCCATGGCGCATCAGCTGCCCCGTCTGTCGCCACCGGACCCCGGTTCCGGATTATCGGATACAGAACCTCCCCAACAACACGAAGGTGACGGAGGATTTCCCGCTCTACATCGACTCGGACCCCCTGCCTCAGGACGCTTTGCCGCCGTACCCTCCCCCGCTGCACCCGGCTCTCGTCGCCCTCCGCCGGGAGGAGGCGTCGGGAGCATCCAGCGCCAGTCAGGCGACCCCGTCCACCACCGTGTCCGCGGCCACAACCCTCTCCCAGGACTCGGTGCGCTACGACAGCTGTCAGAGCTGCAAGAGGGTGGCGCTGACCACCGGCTGCGTGTGCGTGATCTTCTCCTTCCTCTCCATGCTGGTGCTGCTGTTCATGGGCCTGATCTTTGTGCACAGCCACAGCATTCCTCCCTCGCCGGCGGGACCCATTTGCCTGTCGGTAGCCAGCATCTTGGCCATGTTCTCGGTGGTCGTCACATGGCTCATCTGCTGGCTCAAATACAGACCGGACCATGAGACAGGCCGCTCATCCGCCACCAGTAACTCCCGGAGAAACGCCTGATAGGCTGCCGCCTCTGACTTTCGATGGAGATGTTGCAGGCTGCTGTGGGTGTGTGGGTGGTGATGTACATAGTACTGGCAACTCCTGCTCCCTTTACTTTTCTAGGAATAAATCTTGCCCAAAATGGCCTTTTATGAGTATAGCAAACACCCGAAGGCCTTCATGTTGTTGGAGCAATAGGCCGACATGATCCTTGATATGTTGTTTTTTCTTCCCTTAAGTTATGCACTTGAATTTGCAGTCTGGGCATCTCCATGAGTGAACTCCAAGTCTTAGACCCTCTGCCTGGGCCTAAGTCTGTATTTGGTTTGTATATGGCTGAATGTTGAAGTGCTTATTTCCAAGGTTTGACACCCTCACCACCTTACCCTGCTGAATAATATGCATATCCCACTATGCCAATCACTGTATGATAACTGTCCACGATCGTTCACTCATATCTCAACAAAGCACTATTGTAATGTACTGATATTTGCTGATATCTCATCTCAGTTATGAGATTAACTGAGTTTCCAGGGTTCTTATGAAGGGTTGCTTGTATATGTTTGCATGGAGAGCCTCTAAGATGCAGATGCAGGTACAGTAGAAGATGCATCCACAATCTAACCTTGTAAATAGTTGACAGGTGCAGAGGTGTGGGAGTGATCAGCCTTTCTTAAGGACACTTCATGAACCTTGTGCTTTAACCTCGCCCTGCAGGGTACCACTGCAGGAAAACTGCAAAGCTTGTGATTTTGAACCTGTGTTTTGCCTCATTTGTGCATGTTTGGCTACTGAAAGGTCAAGGCTTTTTTAATAGGTTCATTTGATTTTTTTTCTTTTTAATTGGAAGAGACGGTGCGTCTCCTGACTCGTGTGCCTCACCTTGTTGCTGAATGAAGCAAAACATCACTGTTATAATAATGGAAATCTTGCACGGGCCTCCTGCTGCAGACAGCACCCAGCTATGGGTGCTGGAAGGGATTTCCCCCCTCCCATCACATCAATGAGAAACAGGGTTTCCAATGTTTAGCACACTTGCTCATGAAAAATGTGTGGTTTTGAAGAAGGAAGCAACCTGCCCTTGTTTGCTAAATGATCCAGGCTCCACTCCCAGCTGCTTCCAAACCCGCCCGTTTTCTTCCTTTAAAGCCATGTGTGA